TAAGGAAATCTCCACAAAATTTTGATATATTTATGTTTTAAAATCCATGTATAAGTGGACCAGTGTAGTTGAAACCTGTATTGTTCAAGGATCAACTATAGATTCATCTAAAATATTGATGAAATATTGTTTTCTGAATCTTCAGTTCAAATCTAGCTTATCTGCTTAAACTTCTTTTAAAGTATTAATTAATACATCTAAATGTTGGAGATGATCACATTCCATACCTTCAGAGCTCTCTAAAACATTGTGAGACCAATATTCAAAGTATTTATTAGCCCAGCAATGGAATTAAGACAGTTTAAATTTTTGTTCTGTAATTCCTTGTACTCTCTTCTCTCCTCATGCCTTTCAACTACATTCTTTGTATCTGCATGTGTAATAAACAACATATAAATATAGCTAAATCAATGAGACAACACAGAATAAAAGGGTTTCATATCTTTCCATTCCATTACAATTGGATCACAACCTCCATCCAAGAAGAAATTCCTTTGCCAAGGTTCAATTTTTATTTCTTACACACACTCAGACAATTAATAGTTGTTATTTTTTGCCTTACCATATCAAAACAGCAGACTCACAATTCCTATATAATAAAAGCCTAATACGCAAATTGACCAACCGGCAGAATAACCAGTCGCTATGATGCGCACTGACCACTAGGGGGCAGACGATCAACACAGGAGCTGCCCCCAGTCTGCAGGCCAGCCAATGTGGGTGCCAGTGGGGGACCCGATTGTCCCGCTGGTCGCCCCACAGATCGGCCCTGATTGCTGGCCAGGCCTAGGGACCCTACCCGTGCATGAATTTCGTGCACCGGGCCTCTAGTGATATTATAAAAAAAATAGCATAGGAATTCTAAATGATGTGGAATAACTTGTTGAAAGCCTTTTTACAAACAAGTACTTGTGAAAGATAACATATCAGCAAAAATGATGGTGTGAAACTTCTGCAAATTCTCTCCTCTGTAATTTTTACACTGGTAAAAATTGTGAGGATCAACAATTTCTGAACTGTGGGAGTTAATCAAAGGCTAAAAGCAATCCAAGTAATGTTTATTAAAAGAAAATTGGCTAAATCTTGGTAAAAAGAGTGAGTTTTGTGGTGTTTTTTTAACTTGCCCTCCCACTCTCCGAAGCTCTGTGGTAGCCTTAAAACCCAACAGCCTATAATCACAGTGAAAACCAGCAGCCTGGTAGCCACGAGAGGTGGTAGAAGAGGGCTGATGCTCCTTCAAAGCCCCATTCTCAGAGAATTGCCATCATATAACCTGTCTGGTGGTTCCCTGGACGACCTCACTCACAAGACTATCTTTATTTGACCTGAATTAGAGCTTGCCTGGTAGAAAAAGCCTAATACAGACAGTCCTCGGGTTACGTCGGACTGGACATACGTTGTTTCGTGGTTATGTCGCCATCTCCCATTTATTTATAAAAAAAAAAGTTCCGTCATTTCGAAGTATGTACATATGTGCTTTATGTTTTTTATTATTTATTTACCACAAGTAAAGGTCAGGAATTATCTTTCTTTTAAATTTTTTTTGCTGTGTGACTTCATTACTGCTATGTATGTGCTCCATGTGAGTGACGTAGGTGCTTATGTAGGTGGGTTCTGACTTACAGCGAAAATCACCTTACGTCGCATCGTAGGAATGGGTCTCCGAGGTAACCTAAAAACCTACTGTATCTAGGGATGTTTGTTGAAAACAATTATAAGCAATTGTTTAACCTTGTGGTTCTCCCTGAGGCAGTAAATAATAATTGGGGCAAACAATAGGCTAACTAAAAAGTTTCAAAGAAAAAGCTGAGGAATAAGATAGATGTCCATAGGGGCTTTAAAAAGTTCTAAGTATCCCCAGGAATGTAAAAGGTTACACACATGGCCATGGCTATCCACATGCTCAAGAAAAGAACTGAGAAGGTCCTGGGATCTCTTCTCAGTTTGACCTTGGGCTCTGTGGAAGCAGGAAGTGAAGTGTCAAGTACAAGCAGGAAGTGTCAACTGCCTGGTGGAATATTAGGTGAGACCCAACAGCAGAAAGAGCCCTTCAGCAAAGACTGACTTATTGGTTCTAGGCACTTAAGAAAATCTCTGCTCAATCATTAGCTGACCACTAATCTAACTAAGCAGAGACTTCAGTGGCCACTTATAAAAAAAAATATAGACTTCAGAGAATTAGTTTAGAAAAGTGAAAAAGCAAATAACACCAAACAGCAACAAAAACACACTCTGATTTCAAGTTACCACATTATTTAAAATGTCCAATTTTCAACAAAAAATTGAGACATGCAAAAAATTAGAAAGTAGTTTTTTCCATACTCAGAAAAAAAAAAAAGTAGATAATATAGTACCTGTCCCCAAGGAAATCAGATGTTGGACTTACTACAAAAAGGCATTAAGTCAGCTATTTTAAATATGTCAAAGAAATAAAAAAATTATGTCTACAGAACTAAATGGAAGTATGAGAATAATGCCTCACAAATAGAAACTCTCCACAAAAAGATAGAAATTAACTGAAATAAAAATTTCAAGAGCAGATTGGAGCAGGCAGAAGAAAGAATTAGCAGACTTTAGGTACCCAGTCTGAGGACTCCTATATAATAAAAGGCTAATATGCAAATCGACCAAATGGTGGATGGACCCGTCACTATGACGCGCACTGACCACCACGGGGCAGATGCTCAACATAGGAGCTGCACCCTGGTGGTCAGTGCACTCACACAGGGGGAGCGCCGCTCAGCCAGAAGCCGGGCTCATGGCTGGCGAGAGCAGTGGCGGTGGTGGGAGCCTCTCCCACCTCCATGGCAGCACTAAGGATGTCCGACTGCCAGCTTAGGCCTGCTCCCGAGAGGGCCTAAGCCATCAGTCGGACATCCTCCGAGGGCTCCCTGACTGTGAGAGGGCACAGGCCAGGCTGAGGGACCTCCCCCTCCCCCAAGTGAATGAATTTCGTGCACCAGGCCTCTAATAGGAAAAATAAAGAATAAAGAAAAATGAACAGAGTTTTAGAGAGCAATGGGATACCATCAAATGTGCATAATGAGAGCCCCAGAGGGAGCAGAGAGAAAGAGGCAGAAATAATATTTGAAGAAACGATGACCAAATATTTACCGAATTTATCAAAACATTCAACAAGCTCAATGAACTCCAAAGTGGTTAGTCAAATGGACCCATACTTAAAAACATCATAATCAAGCGATGGAAAGACAGAGAAAAAGAATCTTGAAAGCAAAACAAAATTTAGATACTCTCCTGAAGGTTGCCTACAAATGTATCTGAGGGAAATAGTGTGGTTTTAAGATGAGACTTCCGAGTCTTAGTTCTGTCATGTACCCCTTTGGAGGTGAATCAGTTGAATATATATTTTTTTGTTTTCTTTTTAAATACGTTTGTATTGATTTAGAGAGAAAGGGAGAAGAGAAACATCGATGATAAAGAAACATCGATCGGCTCTGCACTCCCCCTACTGGGGATCGAGCCTGAACCTGGGCATGTACCCTGATCAGGAATCAAACCTGCGACCACTGCGACCACTTGGTGCATGGTATGATATGCTCAACCAACTGAGCCACACTGGCCAGAGAGTTAAGTATAAATTTGATATAACTCATAGGGATGGTTTTTCTCCCTTCATAATCTTTGGGGCTAACAATCAACCAAATTCTCCAATGCAGTTGAATGTTTGGTCTCCTACATTACTCTCAAAGCAGCAACAGATTAAAAAATAAAGTAACAAATTCTCTTTTGCAGGAAAAAAAAAGTATCATCAATTGATGAGTGATTACGGCTTTTATGTGAGAATATTCTTTCAGGTACTTGAATTAAAGGCTTAACTTACCTAAGGTAACTAATTAAGAGTTTCTTAAAGAGCTATTACTTTTTGTAGCTCACTCACAAGAAAATACTAAGACATAGTGATATTTCAATTAAAAAAAAGTAAATAAAGATAAAAATTTTAATCTCAATAATAGACCTAAAGTATAAATTTGACTCTCTTTTTCATTAACTTAAATCAAGGATAGGTACTAAGAGAGTCATACTTTTTCTCTTAGTATTAGAAATGAGGGTAACCATAAGGTTCCTGATTTATTTCTCTTCTTTATAGCTCACTGGTATACTAACTCTCTCCAAACACTGTAACTTTGCTTTCTGCATTTATATATTGTCATCATATTGAATTATAACAAATCACTTTGGAAATACAATGGAAGAATAATAATAGAATACATGCTCAAAGTCCTATCATTTTCTTATTTTTAGGGCATTACATCATAAAAATTCAAACTGGAAGATAATTGAATAGTTTTTATCCTTGTTCCTCAGATAATGATGCCTAGGGGAAAAAAGGTGAGGATAAAATATCTTACTCAAGATTAGGCAAATAAAACTACAGTTGATGGTGGGGGCTTGCCCGGGCTGGGAAGGGATGGGGGAGGGGATCAATTGGGGGAAAAGGAAACATATGTAAAACTTTAGACAATAAAAAAAATAAAATAATAATAATAATGAAAATAAATAAATAAATAAAATATTCAAAAACAAAACAAACAAAAAAACTACAGTTGACTATTGAACCACAAGTTTGAACTGCCTGGTGCCACTTAATAGTATATGTGGATTTTTTTCAGTAAATACCTGTACTGTTTTTGATCCCCGTTTGGGATTCTGCAGATGCAGAGGGCCGACTGTATGCACTGATCTATGCCATTTTTATAGGGGACTTGAGTATCCTCAGATTTTGGTATGTGCAGGGGGTCCTGGAACCAATACTGAGGGACAACTTAAATTTTGGGGAAATAAAAATTATACGTGAATTTTTGACTGCATGGAGTTGGGAGTGTGGGTTGGTATTCAAGGGCCAACTGTATAACAATTTCAAAACACCAAATATAAATTAATGAATAACAATATTGGGACTAATGCCCATGGCAGAGAAAAGCTTATCTGAGTGGCCTCTAGTTTTCATGATATATATCCATAGATTATCCCAAACTAACCTGTGATGATAAGACATTCATTGTGATCCAGCACCTCAGTAAAGAGCCGGGAAACAATCAACTCGGGGTTGATTAAAAAGCGAATTTCTTCTTGCACAAGTCCAGCACTGGTTACACCACCTCCAACAAAACGGTTTGCAAAATCCACCTATTTGGAAAAATGTGGCATGTTAAATGATGATCTAAATTACCTACGTTAAATGATACACAACTATACCACCTCTAATCTCTAATCTTGCTTTCCTTTCCTATATAAATCAACCCCAAGTTAGTAATCTTTTCAGGAAGAATAGGTTGTGGTTGGCTGCACTCTTTCCATCTCACTGCAGTTAACATCTCTGCATATTTCTTTAGATCCAAAACCTTAGAAGGAACCTAGAAAATGGAGCTTTTAGGCAAAAGACTCAATGTAATTATATGGATTTTCGTTTATAAACCTTTTGTGTTCCAAGGACCACAAATCAAGAAAGGCTTTATCTGGAAAGTTCTCAAGATCATTTCCCCACCATTCACTACTCAATTTCCATTTATGTATTTCATAGACTTTAATATAACTATACCTTTCTTATATAATATGGCAATCAAAAACTTGTTCTTAAAGAACTTTAAAGTTCAGTAATTGACCTTTTTTGGGGTAAACTTTCCTTCTATGGAAGAATAAAGGGATAGGAACTTTGTCCTTCTAAATTCAGTTGCAAACTCCCAACTACATGAACATTACAAACTATTTTTTAAAAATATACCTAAGGAAATAAATGAAGAATAAAACTTAGTTTAACGATAAAGATTCAACAAAATATTTCCAATTTAGTTTAAAACTATACATAAGCTTCCTGTGGAATACTAAGATTGGATCCCCAAGCTCCTATTAATAATGATGATTATACAATCCTCAAGAGAAAGCAAACTCAACTTGCCATCATTATTTGTTTGTCTTAAACTTACTAAGCACTCCAAGATGTCACAGAACGCTAGGAATTATGGGGAAATATGTAAGAAATGGTTTCCAACTTTGCCTTAGATTACTCTATTTGAGGAGTTATATTACACACTTATATACAACTGTGCACACACATAACCATACCCATACAAAAAAAACCCCAGAATTCAGTTAAGTAGTGTTAAGAGAGGCTTATATACTGTGTAGGAAAACCACATTCCTGTATCTCCCTTTTAACTTCACACTGCTACCAAACTCACTACATTCTGACACCAAATGTGTGGTATTCGACACATCAAGCAATTCTGCGACACCACCTAGGTGTCCTATAATTCAATTCAGTTCTGACACTATCTGCCTGGCGTCAGCATTGGATTTCAAAAGCTAAGGGTTCAGTCCCACAAGACTGCCCAACGTCAGATGCCAATTGTAAGTCCTAACTTCTAGTTGATTGGTTAATAGGGGTTTCCATGACCCCCTCCTGGGGTTTGATAATTTGCCAGAGCAGCTCACAGAACTCAAGATAATGCTCACTTACATTTACTGGTTTATTACAAGGTTATAATAAAGGACACAGATGAACAGCAAGATGAAGAGATACACAGGGCAAGGTATTTGGGAAGGGGCACAGAATTTCCAGGCAAGTCATTCTTCCCACAAGTCACTCACTCTCCTAGTACCTCCACATGTTCACCAACCTGGAAGCTCTCTGAATTCCAGACTTTTGGGATTTTTATGGAAGCTACAGCATGTAGGCGTGATTGATCATGAACTCAGTCTCCAGTACCATTCCCTTTCCCAGAGGACGAGAGGTCAGGTAGAGAGTTCCAAACTTCTAAGCATGGCTTTGGCTTTCTGGTGACCAGCCCCGTTCCTGAAGCTATTCAGGAGTCCACCAAGAATCACCTCATTACAACAAAAGACACTCACTCCTGTGACACAGAAAATTCCAAGGGATTTAGGAGCTCTGTGTCAAAACCAAAGACCAAATCCTATATAATAAAAGTGTAGTATGCAAATTGTCCCCTCTACTGGGAGTTAGTCCAGGAGTTTGACCAGGGGGCAGGCCAGCTGGGGGAAGGGAGGGAGGCCCTGGCAGCAGGCAGCCAGGGGAAAGGAGGGAGTACCCAGGCAGCAGCCAGCAGCCACTAGGGACCCTACCAGTGCATGAATTTTGTGCACTGGGCCTCTAGTATTAGAATAAAAGATGCTCCTTGTGCTCTCATTACTTACATAGCTACCCAGGTTTTAGGAGCTCTATGCCAAAAGCTGGGGCAGATATACACACACACACACACACACACACACACACACACACACACACATATATATATATATTTTATTTTACATATCTTTTCAAATATAAGATTTCTTAAAATTTGTTTATGTTCTCTAAAGCAATTATGACATTATATGATAATCTGAAACCTATTTTACAAAAGAGTAAAACAAGAATATGAATCTTTTGATATGGAAAAATATGAGAAAAGACAGAAATTAACAGAAGGCAAAGTATTATTTAAGTATAGAACTTGGAAAACACTGAAAATTACAATTAGACAAGTTCTTGAAATGAGTTACCACAGAGAATCATATACATTTGGATTTATATTCTGGCATACTAAGTCAATGCTAAAAAACAGTTACTCTTTAGCTATCATAGAAAAACTAGAGGCCTGGTGCACAGATTCGTGCACACTAAAAGCAAATTAATTAGAAGGTGGCTGGCGGGGCGGGACTGAGCGAGACGAGCCAGACACACCCTGGAGCCAACCTCCCGCGGCCCCTCCCTGGCCAGCCGCACCTGAGGCCATCTTCTTCTTCTTTTTAAAAATATTTTATTGATTTTTTTACAGAGAGGAAGAGAGAGGGATAGAGAGTTAGAAACATTGATGAGAAAGAAAATCGACCAGCTGCTTCCTGCACACCTCCTACTGGGGATGTGCCCGCAACCAAGGTACATGCCGTTGACCAGAATCAAACCTGGTACCTTTCAGTCCGCAGGCCGAGGCTCTCTCCACTGAGCTAAACCAGTTAGGGCACCACCTTCTAATTAGTAGCAAGTGCCACCTGTGGCTTGAAGGTCGTCTGCGGAGTGCGCGGGGTCCCTCTGGCAGGTGGGGTCCCTTGGTCTGGCCTGTGGGGATCGGGCCGGAACCAGCAGCCCAACATCCCCTGAGGGGTCCCTGAGCGCAAGAGGGCACTCTGCAAAGTTGCTGTTACTCGTCAGCTCCTGCATTGAGCGTCTGCCCCCTGGTGGTCATTGCATGTCATAGCTACCAGTCAGAGTGTCTGCCCCCTGGTGGTCATTGTGCATCATAGCTACCGGTCGGATGGTCGAACAGTCAGACCAGCGGTCGCCAACCAGTGGTCCCTGGACTACTGGTGGTCCGTGAGGTCCGAAAGGTTGGTGACTGCTGGTTTAGACAGTCACTTAGGCTTTTATATATATAAATAATTTTAGTTAAACTAGTCCATTGATTAGAATTAGTTACCTACTACATAATGAGGTCTTTATGCACTGGGTGATTTATGGCTTAAACTGTTCAATTCAACAAATATTGACTGAATCTTGTGCTCGGAATCATAGGATGCAAAGATGAGTAAGACAGTTTCAAAGCATTTACAATCTAGCCAGGACAGGAGTCAGGCACATAAGCAGAATGATAGAATAATTATTAAAGAACTTATTAGCACTAAATTGATACTGCCTAAATAATATATCCTATCTAATAATAGACAAACATGGTAATTAACCGTACCTCCGACACGCTTCCCAATGGCTATTCAGGCGATATGCAAATTAACTGCCAACCAAGATGGTGGCCGTCAGCCAGGCAGCTTGAAGCGAACAGGAGGCTTGCTTGCTCCAGTGATGGAGGAAGCCAAGGTTCCCCGCCTGCTGCTGCCGGCCTCTGAGCTGCACTCTAAGAAACAATGTTGCAATTATAGAAGCTAAACAAACCCCAGAAACCTGCTTTCAGCAGCCGGGCCTCAGAGCTGGAGCTGCAACAGTGTTTCAATTATAGAAGCCAAACAAACCCAGATCCTGCTTTCAGCAGCCGAGGTCTCAGAGCTGGAGCCGAGCCTCAGAGCTAAAGGCGGCTCTCAGCTCCAGTGACAGCCATAGAAGGTAAATAAATCCCAGAATAAAAAAAAAAGAAAAAAAGGAGAGGTTGGGAGCTTCAGTCACCCGCCAGCCTGAAAATGGCCCTCAGCCCCTCACCCAGACTGGCCAGGCACCCCAGTGGGGACCCCCACCCTGAAGGTGGTGTGACCAGCTGCAAACAGCCATCATCCCCTCATCCAGGCTGGCCAGGCACCCAAGCGGGACCCCCACCCTGATCCGGGACACCCTTCAGGGCAAACCAGCCAGTCCCCACCCGTGCACCAGGCCTCTATCCTATATAGTAAAAGGGTAATGTGCAAACTGACCCTAACAGCAGAAAGACTGGGAATGACTGGTCACTATGACACACACTGACCACCAGGGGGCAGACTCTCAATGTAGAAGCTCCCCTCTGGTGGTCAGGGTGCTCTGACATGGGAGGAGCTCTGCTCAGCCACAAGCCAGGCTGATGGCTGCCAGTACAGCGGTGCCTCTCCCGCCTCCTCAGCAGCGCTAAGGATGTCCAACTGCAGTTTAGGCCTGCTCCCCGCTGGCAAGTGGACATTCCCCGAGGGCTGCCGGGCTGCCAGAGAAATGTCTGATTGCCATCTTAGGCCAAATCCCCCGGGGAGCGGGCCTAAGCCAGCAGGTGGTCATCCCTTGAGGGGTCCCAGACTGCGAGAGGGCACAGGCCGGGCTGAGGGACCCCCCCTTCCCCCCCAAGTGCACAAATTTTTGTGCACCGGGCCTCTAGTATATATATAAAAGCCTAAGTGACCATTATGATTGAACGACCAAAATGACCAGTCACTATGATGACCACCAGGGGGCAGACGCTCAATGCAGGAGCTGCCCCCCTGGTGGTCAGTGCACTCCCACAGCAGGAGCGCCGCTCAGCCAGAAGCCGGGCTCATGGCTGGCAAGCACAGCTGCGGCAGCGGGAGCCTCTCCCGCCTCTGCGGCAGCAAAACTGAGTGGCAGCACGGCAGGCGGAGTGGGGCGGGATGAGCGGCAGCAGAGCTGTGTCCAGCCCCAGCTGGGGCTCCTCCCCAGCCGCCTGCTGCTTTGGCACTGCTACATCCCTCGGGGGATGTCGGACTGCTGGGTTTCGGCCCGATTGCAAGAGGGCACAGGCCAGGCTGAGGGACCCAACTGGTGCATGATCCCATGCACCGGGCCTCTAGTACAATGTAATAAAATAAGCATGGGAAGGAGAATAGAGAGCATTACAAGAGGACGTGTCATTCAATCTGGATTTTGCTGATTTTCAGGCTGAGGGACATAGGAGAAACCAAAAGTAAGGAGCTGTCTGAGGAGAATGGAAGCAGACTCCTCATGCGTGTTTGTAATGTAGAGTATGGGGAGGGTTATAGTGGTGATGAAGTGATCTGGGGTCCAGGAAATTTTTACTTAATTCTGAAGGTTCTAGAAAAGATTCTAAAAGGAAAAGTAACAACAAAGAACCTGGACTTTAGGGAGATAATTCAGGGTAAAGTTTAAAGAATAAACCGAAAAAGTATAAAATTAAAAGTGGAGGCTGATTAGGTGACTACTGGATAGTTTATACAAGCTATATTAGTTCCTCAAATAGGTCAGTGGGAAGGAAAGTGAAGGAAAGAGAGATGCAGCAAAGAAATAAAATGGACAGCACTTAAAAATTGAGAAACTGACTAAGTATAATGGTATTATAAATAAAAATAAAAAACAAAGAAGGTTTGAGATTAGCAAAACTTAATTTTTACTGTTAATTTTTACTGGAACAAGGTAAATAATCAAAATAGAAAGATAAGCTCTACCCAACTTATGTACTACTTGGTAATGATAAATGAAATACATTCCGTGTACATGCTATAATAAAAGGCCAACATTTATTACTTGATAGTTATTCACACAAATAAATACACTAAACTCAATATGCCTGAAAGCAGGAGGAGTCTTTTAGAAAATCAAAGTTTCTACTACATAAAAAGTTCCTAATAAAAGGCTACTACAGGTGAGAAAATGGTTCCAGTACATGAAAACAGCATGTGAGTGCTTCTTTATTTTTAGCTAGTCATTTTCCAACTCACTTTAAAGCTACTTGTTCAGATTACTCAGTTTCTGAATTATAACTTGATGAAAAGAGAGAAATGATAACACTCCTTAGAGGTTTTGTTGTTGTTGCCATTCAGCATAATGTAATTAGTATGCTACACAAGAAGCTTTGTGGCACTGCAATACAATATTCCCTGACCTCCTGGGGATACATGGCATGAGGAGGGAGCACAATTAATAGAAGCCTTTATGGTATTCTCTTAATCTACTGAGGTTTCATATTTCTTCTATAATATGTTCCAGGAAAGTGGGGAGAATCTCAACTTTGAATGTTGTTAAGTAATTCCTTGTTGAATTGTACTGTAATGAAAGGTCAGCATTCCTGCAGTGCTAACTAGCAGTAGCTTTGTTAATTTTTGTGTGTATTAAGACTCCCTCAGTTAATACAAGACTTTAATGTAGGAAAGAATGTCATCAAGATGAAAATGTGGGAAAAAGTGATATTCATTTGAAACAAATTTTAACCAAATTTTAAAATTATTGTTTTAAATAGAAAGAAAGGTACTGATTAAATGCAAATTTAAAACAAATTTTAAGTATAGGACAAATATTAATTCAGTTATCCTAAGCATTTTCATTATCTCAAACTAGAGGCCCAGTGAATGAATTCGTGTACGGGTGGTCCTTGGCCTGGCCAGTGATCGGGGCCGATAGGGGCCATTTCGCCCAGTCCTGATTGGGGCCAGCCAGCTGGGGGGAGGGACCACGGGAGGTTGGCCGGCGAGGGGGAAGGGGGGGGACCGTGGGAGGTTGG